GCCCTAGGAAGGAGGCAATGGCAAACCACTTCCAAAATCTTGCCAAGAAAACTGCAGGGACCAGGAGTCAAAAACTGACTCAAAGGCACGGTATGTATGTAGTGAACTATATGGAGCAGGGAGTTGGACTAGGACCTCCAAGATTCCTTCTATTCTATGATTCTATTCCATTTCTTTTTCTAAAAGAACCCTAAAAAGATGAGATTGGCCTTCCTATTCAGAATGGGGTGATATTTGCCTCTAATCCTAGGCCAGGATACATGTGACCATCCTTTGCTGGACATGCCAGTAGAGCTAAGTGACTTATTTGAAGTAGCCAAGTGGCCTATTCATCCAATTCCTTGGTTGTTTTTGCCACTCCTTTTGCCAGCACCCAGATGTGGGAAGAGCACAAAAATAAATCAGAACAAGCCAAATTTCTAGATTCAGACATGATGACAACATAAAGTAACTAAGAATACATGAGCCTATAGCAAGCCAGAATGTCAACTTCTGGCTTGTTGCCAAAAATAAACCATGAGAGTTATTTTTTTCCCCATGGAAGAGGTGTATATTTTTGATCCAAAGCCTAAAGACTTAATACTTATGTGCAAACTAGTCACAGTTTCTGTTCAAGTCCTGATGTCTTCCCAAAAGGATGACTCTTAGTGACTCTGAAGGTTGTAATTCAGCCTTCCTCCGTCTGGTGCCTTCCAGATGTGCAGGGATTTCATATTTCCAGAAGTGGAAGAAATACCATGAAGTATTCATTTGTTGCAGTAATCCTAAAACCTTTTAAAACTCAGCCGACCCTAATCCATTTAAGCCTGCACATCTTTCTACTCTGTCAAAGTCTCCAACTGATTTGCATTGTGGCTTGCACACAATATGCCTCCAAGCCATAAATTACATTTTACTAGCCACGGTGGTTGGATTCACACATGCAATGCCAAAGTCAAATAAAGCAGGTCAAGGTTAAACTCAGCCTCTGATTTCTTTTTGACATCAGTGCCAACAATCCCTTTTTCTCCTTTCCTGTCCTTGCTGTCCCCTGCCTCATTTCAATTTTCTTACCTGATTATTTTAACAATACATGGCTTACACCTATATCTTTTAAAAATGTATATTTCTTTGTAGATCGGTGCACTTTTCTGTTTTCTTAAAGACAAGCCCTTTTTTCTTGTTTCAGAACCCCAACCCAAGTAGCGAGTTGTGGACATGTTTTCAAAGTCTTTACAGCTCTTGATTGCCAAAGATGTTAACCAAGTTGTTTTTTCTTCACCTTATTGGATGGTTGGGCTTTGAAATCAAAACAGAAATGGGAAAGTAAGTGCTGCTGTGACTTCTTGGAGGGAAAGAAAAATATAAACAGAGTCGCTGAGTAGATAAAGAGTTACACAAAGGAAGAAAGTAAAATCTAGACAAAGAAACGGCACCTTTCAAGAACTGTTCCATATTGTCCACATAAGGCTGCCACGAATGAGGTTGGGAGATGCTGAAGTCAATGTTGTATCCATGTTCTATGTATGGTCTAATCGTAACTCCTACAAAAAAAATTTAAAAAGGGGGAAAAAACACAGAATAGGACAGCACAGAAGGGAACAGGGGCACAATTAGGGCTGACTCCTTTGATCGTCTTCCCCATAGCATGCTTTCCTATGATGGTGGTCGGCCCTCCCTCAAAGCATGCAAGAACAAGGATCCAAACCCAACTTGTGAACGATCAATGGTCCCAACCACGGTCGCTACCATTTCACACCCACATCTTCAGTTGCCCCTAATCTTAGTCAGTATATCCCCTGCACCCTGAGATGAGACAAGTCCCTGCACCCACTTGGCATCTTCCCCTCAAAAGGACGCCCCACAGATCTCGCTCAAGCACTTACCTGGTGGGGCCACCCTGTCTCTGTACCTCGGCGTGTAGGGGCTCAGCGTGATCAAGACTACATACATACAAAATATGAACATGCCGGCCAGGAACGTGTACAGGAGGAGATAAAAAAGGAGTATCAGGCCTGCAAGAAAGAGAAGAGGTGTTGCTGATGGCTGGTTGGCCAGAGAACTGAATCCTTTCTCCATAAATATGTCAGTTCTGCAATATGAGACTGAAGGCAACAAGATGTCCAGGCACAGAAACAGGCCCATATTTGACTGACAGGTTTCCTCCTGCTTTAAGATGAAACCAGTGAGACCAGGGGAGCAAGTGCGTTACCTGCACATTTCACTAAGTGTCACACTAAGCCAGGGTTTGATTTAGTTGTGGTTTGTTAAGGAAGCAAGTTGAGCATCATCAATTATTTTCTTTAATTTATACATTTTAAAATCTTGATGGAGATTGGATAGTTTATAATCCCTTTTGTGTGGTTTCCTCTCTTTTTGTTTGATCTGTTTTGTTTTGTTTATTAGGTTTTTCTTTTGGGTAGTATTTGTAAAATTTGTTTTTTTTTTTTTAATTGAGTATGCAAAACATGCTGGATTTGGTTTCTGGATCGGGTCATTTTCTGGGTTTTGCATAATACACTGAACGATACACTAAGGAAAAAGACTGGATTCATCCCGCCAGCAAAGATGTAAATAAAATAAGCAAGCAACTTTCACGGACCTTGTGCCAATCAGCCACAGAGTTAGTCTTGCAGGTGAATATAGTCGTGCAATTCCAACTAATTTGGCCAATTCCCGGTTGTGTTCTCCCTTTGTTTAGCCATTCCTGCCTTACACCTCTGTGGGTTGCTTAGAGGCTCAGACAGGGCACAAAACAGACCTAGAACAAGCCAGGAAGCCATAAGTAAGCCATGGGTTCCTGCTTGCAAATCATGCTAAACCACACTTGCTGTCAATAAGCCAGGATCAAGCTATGGGTTATTCTGCTAATTACAGTTTACTCATTGTTTGCATGCCAACAATAAAGTTAACAAATCGTATTATGGCTAAGTATGGTGCGTAAGTCTAGATTTGATGGTTTGTGGCATAGCATTGTGTGTAAACTAGGCCATTCAGCTAACCACAGTTTATTCATAGCATAGTGCAATGTAGGAGGCTAAACACCGGCTCCGAGGTCGTCTTCTGCTAGTCATAATGCAATTTCTTTAGTTTCAGTTAGTGTGATGTTTGAAGTCAACCACCAGGCTTTGAAAAACTAACTTTTGTGTGAGCCTAGCCACAAAAACCCACAGCTTATTTTATCCATTAAATCAGCCTCTAAGCTCCTACAGCTGTTTAGCATTTCCAATGCACATTCTAGGAGATATCAAAAAAGGAACCCAGACAGTGATGATTTTGTCTGGTGTTAACATCTTTTTAAGCCTTCTTTGAGCATCTCTTGAATCAGAGGTTTATTATGTTCATATAAGAAGACAAAGAGGTCCTCCCTGTTCAGAAATGAGATTGCTTTCCCTAAAGTGGTGTTTTTCAACTTTGGCAACTTGAAGATGTGTGGACTTCAACTCCCAGAATTCCCCAGCCAGCCTTCAATTCTGGGAGGTGAAGTCCACACATCTCCAAACTGCCAACGTTGAGAAACACTGCCCTAAAGATGCCTGCCAGGCACCCACCTTGCCATCTTGCCTGGCAAAGCTATGTTTTCTTTTCTGAGAAAATTATATCTGTCATTATCCTGACCTTGTTTGGGGACATTTTTAACATTTGCTTTCTATTTATTGCAGTTTTATTGAGCCAAAAGCAATCATTTGGAGAGGCACTTCAGCCCTCTCTCCTGACTTAGTGCCTGCAAAGATAAGGGACTTGCCTCAAGAGAATAAAGCCCAGGCTTTTTTAAAAAAAATGCATGAAAATAAATCCTTTACCCACCCCATGGATGCTTCATGATGTGTTTTCATTTCCCAGCGGGAACCCAAATGCATTTCCAGGACACGCTTTGAGTGCAGCTGTGACTTCTGGCCTCTGCGTTCTTGAGGTGTTTATGTTACAGGGAATTTTGAGTTCTGGGAACAAACTGGCTGGCAGTGGGGACAGGACACGGGGAGGGGGGTTGCTGAGGAGAGAAACAAACTTAATTTGGACCTGCGAGCTACTTTGGCATGGGGTCAGGGAGGGTAGGAGGGAGCCTCTCTTTGAACACAGCGAAGCAGAACAGCATGGCAGAAGGACCTTTGGGGTTCTGTTGGCAAGGCATTTAACTGCTCACACGGGTCATTTAATTGGGGATAATTCTGTCCCCCATCTTTGCTCCACAAAAGCCAGGGGTGGCTTAAAGTAGGCAGAGCAAAATCCAAGTGTTTGGGCTACAAAGGTTCGTTCTTCTGTTAATTTCACAGGAAGGACGCTTGGCTTATTCAATCTCATAAGGTTCATGCGCACCGCAGGAGGGGCATGGAGATAAAACAGGGCAAGGGGCCGTGGGGGGGGGGAAGGCCCATGTTAGTTATCCTGATTGCAGAACAGGCAAGAACTGCATACTGTGTTGCTGGAATTGCAGTTCTCGTTGCCAGTGGTTTGGCAGGAGCAACAGAAAGGCACCTGTCGGTAAAATGCATTCTACTTTCTTGGCATGATCAACTTTTTATATTTTTTAAAATTATTGTAAGCCCATCTTGATTTGGGCTTGAAAGTTCCAGAAGGTAAACCTTTTAAAAATAAGATAAAAGAGGAAACTTAAGATGTTTAAGATTAGTTGTGATTAAGCAACGGTGCATATGTTCATCTCACCTAAACAAATTTTGGGGGGATGCCTTGAAATTAATCCCAGCAACTACCTGGATAAGTCCATGCTGTTTTCTAGGCAGCATATTCAGAAGAATGTTACCCTTGCCTGCTTCCCAGGGCTGAGAGAGAGGGACTGGCCCAAGGTCACCCAGCTAGCTTCATGCCTAAAGGAGAATTAGAACTCACTGTTTCCTGGTTTCTAGCCTGGTGTGCTTAACCATGCTTTATTATTATATATACTTTAAACTATAGTTGGCTGGGTTTGCACAGCACACTAAGCCATAAACCAATGTTGGCAGTTGGCACTCAGTCTTAAACCAAGGTTACAACTCACAAATAGTACATTTAAAAACTGTGTTTCAGCTCAGTATGTGAACTCCCTCATGTATTACGGCAAGTCTTTGATGAAGCAGACCAAAAGGTTTGCCATAATAAATGTGCTAGTCTTTGCTGGTTTTGCAAGAACAAATTAATATTTTCTGTATCATGGAAATAAATGCAAAGGCTGCTCCATGTTTATTCTTGCCTTTATTTCTCCCGTGATTGATTCCCTGCGTTACACCGTAAATGTTAGGTTCCTCATCCATTCTATTAAAAAAGAAAACTCACCATGCACGCTGATGGAGTATTAATGCAGCACTAATTCTTATGCTATTAGGAAATCAGTTACTAATGATAAATTTCACTTACTCCAGCTCCGAGCAGACCTGCCCAAGCATTCCCGGGTCTCTGGATTCCAAATGAAGATTTTTAGTTTCTGGATCCTTTCACCCCACGTTTTCTTGCCCATCCTTCTGCCTTCCTTTTCTTCCTCTTCTGCATCCAGCTGATGTGTCTCTTCATCCTTATTTCCCTGGAATGATGACAAAGCAAACCCCACACACACCATGAGCATAATGTTCTGGCCTCTTTGCTTTTTGTTTTTGTTTCTTCCTCCCCCTCTGGCCCATCATTCCTTTCCAGTAAAATATTCCATTTGTCGAAAATAAGCACCAGTGGCTTTACTCTCTGGAGTCAGTCGAAAGTTTCCATTTTGTCATCACTGCTCCTTATCAAACCTTTTGGAAGTGGGAAGAACTTTAAAGGGAGGAAAAGACTCATAAGGCTTGGGCAAACTCAGGGGCAGCAGAACACCCAAAGAATGAGGGAGACTGACCTACAGAAATGGATGGGGTGAGAAATTATTATTTCCCAGTTATTTCTACCACTAACTCCTCAACCAGAAAATCCCCTCAGTTTCCTTTTTTTTTTCTTTTTGCAAAGGTCCTTCCTTCATTTCTCATATCCTGTTCTTTCAAAAAATTGCTTTAAAGCATTGGTCAAATGCATATATGCCCTGCCATGAAGGCCTGTTTTACCTATAGCGTTAACTATGATACCTTTGGTTTGCCTTCTCGATACACTCGTTGCATAAACCTGGTTGTTATGCTGTGCAAACTATGATTTAGGGCTCAGTGTGTGGGGTGAACCCAGCCAATGGGGGTTTATTCAATAACCCATGGTTAAACAAATGATGGTTTAGTGTACTATGTGCAAGAATATAATGGTTCCTGCCAGGAAAGCTGTAATTTACAGGAAACATTTAAATCATACAAGACAGCATCAGTTTTATGTCAGTCTTATGCATCTAGTCTTCATGTTTTCTTCTCATGAGGAAATCAGTAAGGAAGCCTTGTAACAAAACATTAGAGTCCATGAAGAATCTGTGAACATGAAAACCAAGCTTTTCACACAGCATGCTTAGCTATTATCTGCTGAGCCAAACTGTGTTGAATACATCTTTCTCTTCCATCAGAAGCTCCTTGCCCAATTCATCCCTCATGAGCAGCCAGACATTGCTTCAACCACAATTAACTGGATTCACACAACATTCTAACCTCTAAAGCACAGTTTATAAACCACCGTGGGCTGGATTTGTGCAGCACAATAAGCCCAAATCAAACCACATTATGACTGGTGGCCACAATCTTTATCTTGTTGATCTTCTTCCTTTTTCCCCCTCCTTCAGGAGAACAGTCTGAGAAGAACCCTACAAACAAGTCCCAGTTTGAACCTGATCTTCTCCTACAAAGCCCCCTTGTGCAGGCATGAGACGTTGGCATGTCTGACCTAGCTTGTACCAGGCGAGTTGCTTCCCTCAAATTTCCCCTTGAGATTTGATGATGCCATAAAGGCAGGGCAAGCTGTTCCCTGCAAAGAAAGGTGGCCAGAAAGAAGATTTCCTTCACTCAGCACAAGCTGTCCATCAATGAATCGTTAACAAGTTGCAGGAGAGAGTTAAGTAAATGAGTATTTATAGAAGAGCATCTCATGAAGCCAAAGATGACCCCATTTGCTGTTGATTAACTGCAATGACACCCCCTCCTCAAGTGGCAACTGCAATACACTTCCTTCTTCCCCATCCCAGAGACTGATGCTGTTGGCCACAGGTGTGACCTCTGCCCAGTTACCAGCCCCAGGAGTATTGCCACTGTCCTTTTTACCCAAAGGGTGTCATTTTGAGTACAGCTCACAAGAGGGCTAGAATAATCTGTGAACATATGCATATTAATCTAGCTGTGGTGATGATGACGACGACGACGACGACGATGACAATGATGAGTGGAATAGGCCATGTTTTTTACTGTTCGCAAAATTGTAACAGACTCAACAAGCTACAATTAATCGAATCACAAAATGTGAGTAGCTTAATAGCAGATTGCCATATCTGCTCAGATCTAAGCTCTGTTATATTCAGGAAGGTAGACTGCTAGGTACATTGAGAATAAGATGGCTGCCAAAATCAATTCAACTTTACAAATGCTGTCATCTCACAAATGCTGAGATTGCAACTTTGGACATGCATTCCTGAAATTAAACTTCCTTGAAATCTCTAAATGTGGTTGGGAAGGGGAGGGTTAGCCACTCTGGTTTGCAAACCATGGTTCATGGCACAACATTTTACGCATACCCTGGCAATTATGTATTATCCAATAATACAGTTAAACAAACTGCAGTTTAATGTGACGCATGAATTAGTGGCTGAGAGAGTCATTTGGGGCTCATAGAAACATAGAATCCTGTTGATTGCGTCAAGAAATACTTGGATGGTACACCCACTTCGTGGGAAGATGCTTGAGTCAAACCATGTTCTTATCCTCCTCTTAATCCATGAAGGCCCATGTAATGATATGCCTCAATGAACCAGGTCATGCTTTTGACCCTGACTTCATTTCTCCCCCTTAAAACCCACAACTACTAACCATAGCTTTTCTATTCTTCAACAGGCAACAACTCCATCTGCATAATTATACCCAACCCTTCATAATTTCCTTTCTTCTTCTAAGTAGTCCAAGGCAGGGACCTCTGCTAAGCGCAGATAAAGCTGGTAAGTACACTCTTTGCACATGTCCCAAACTATTAAGTTTACTGATGTGGGGCACCCAAAGGGAATCCACCTTCTATAACCCAGTAAGGTTAACTTACCAGGATTCGGAGTTGGTTCATGCAGGGATCATTGGAAGCTCCTTTTGCATCCATTGCTTTGTAAAAAAAAAAAATGTAGAAGGGGAAATAGAATTAATGTAATAAGCCAGCTCCAGAGTTAAAGAACTAAACCACTCCCCACCATGTCTGCCAGCCCTAGAAAGTTCAACCAAGCTTCCTCTTGAAAATCATCCAGCCTCACATGCAGAAAGCAGATTCAGGACTTTGCAGATGGGGAAAAAACCAAACTGAGGATTGAAACTTTGGGGCTTCTTTGCTGCCAACGCCAGGTGACAACTGTCGCTCTTTCAACGTTGTCCAAGAGGAGGAGCGTGTTGGCTAGCCCCCAAGAAACAGATTTGCTTTCCTCTGGCCACTGACGTCATGCAATCCAGCGCTGAACAAGAGTTAGGGTACCTTTCCATCAAAAACCATTTAAGTATACTAAGCAGTCTGCTGGAGAAGGAGGAGAATCTCTCTGAGAAAGTGGTTCAGTCCTGATTCTGTCTAGAGAAACCTAAGATCCGTTTTTAGAACATTATATTGGTGCTGGACTTGAATGGAGAGCAAAGACTATATGAGCAAATGTGTTCCTGTCAGTCATGGGCAGGGGGACGGGGGGAGAGGAGACTTCATTTGATTGCTCTTGAATGTTCAGGGAGTCAGATTTTGCTATATTTATCCCTCTGTACTCATTCAGTCTGAGCGGATGGGATTCTCCAGGATCAATTTCCCAACCATCTGAAGAACCCCAAAGGAGAGCCAGAGGGCTCACAGCATTATGCCAAGGTTGAGTGCTCTGGTTGGGTTCCTGGTGGCACTAAATGTGCCCTCATCCCCCAGTTTTGCAATCTGTCTAGCTGAAGCATTCATCTTGGCATCTAACCTTGCTTTGGACTCTTTTACAACAGCTTAACTAGAAGCAGTTCTCCAACCCAAGCTTTAGATAGATGCTGTGGTTGTTCACGTCTGTTGACCCACCATGGTATGATAAAACTGGGAGGATCTGGATAACCTCCTCTTTAGAGGCATCACTTTTGTTCCTCTTTCCATGTCTTTCCATCTCTGGTTGTTTCATGTCTATTTTTAGATTGTAAGTCTCTAGGGTCTGAAGCTTCTATCCACCCAGCCATCCATTCTTTCTAAAACATCCTGAACATAGATGGGGCTATACAAATTAAGAATGTGTCAGCTGTTCCAAAGGTCCTCTAATGTTATCTTAAGTTTAATATAATTTAAATTAATATCAGCTCATTTGTTCTCAACCCACCCACATAGTGGGTGTCATAGTGTACATTTTGTCCCTTGCACCCTGAAGACATTGATACCCCCCCCTTTGCTGTTGTACTTAATGTGCATCATCTGATCTTTTTAACCTGCCTCCCCCCTATATGGCACCCCCCCCCCGGGATCAGGATGAACTGCCCTCAGCTTGAAAAAGTTTGTACCCTCGTCATCAACAGCCATTGACTATGAGCCAAAACTATTGGAGTTTTCCCAGAATGCTCTGTGTAAGCATTTCTCCAGAGCATTCTGGGAAGTTTAAACTGGTCATAAGGCTCAAAGAGTTCAGTCATCCTCTTTAACCAGTAAAGATGTGGACATTGGCAACTAATTAGAGTACACTACGAGGGGGAACCTAAGTCCAAGTCTTCACTGAAGTCCAGATCTGAGATCTGCCAAAATGCTCCAAATTATTTTGCTGACTTCCGGCCTCAGCCTCCAGCACCCGCCTTCTCCCTTGCCTCCTACAAATATCATTTACCCATTTCTCCCATCACCCCCCCTCCCTTTGGAAGCAGGACATTCGACAGATCATCTCAAATGAATTATGTACCACCACTGCCCAACAGAAAGAGGCCACATTGCTAAGAGAAGTAACACTCTCTACATAGCCAGATAGATGTATTTTCCAAAGTGTTTTCTATTTTTGGCCCAGGATGATCATGTTACACTGTCTAGATAGGTGGTCCTTTTCCATCTCTTTTCGAATTCTCTTCTGCCCCCTCCTGGCTACCTCTGCCCCTCTAGGAAAGGATTTATTCCCTGGTGAGACCAGACTGAACAGGAGGGACTTTTGATTTTTCTTTTCTTTTTAAATGTTCCTTGAGCCCTAAGATCCACCAGGGGTAGTCTGCTAAAAGAGAGATAACACCTGGAATTTTAAAATTCTGAAGCCACCTATTTTTTAGATCTCAATTCTGTATTCACGCAGAAGAATTTGAATCAAAGGGGCTTAAGTCATGGCTACAATGTCAGACCTGCTTATTTCAGAGTTTGTCCCAGCAAGTTTAACAAGACACTTCTAAGCAAATATAGCCGTTTTATGAAACTATTGCTCTTTGTTTCTTTCTTATTGGGTACTATCCCAACTATTATTATAATAAATTTCCTTTTGCTACATTATGTAACTTTTCCTTGTTTATGAATCATTTTTGTATATTCCTTTTTAAAAAAAGTTTGCTTTGCAAAGAACTTCAGCCTCCCTGCTATTCTATTCATTGCTCCTCTGCAAATTAATTGCCAAGCTGCTTAGGCTAAACCTTGAATATGTCATATTGAATATGTCATATTGTCGAAATAACAACTAAGTGCTTTTTATTCCCCTTTACATTAAACCTCATCATTTATCTGAAAATACGCTGAAGAACAATTTATTGCAAACGTGAGACCTTTTAAAGTTCACGGGCGATAAGATAAATACTGCTGTAAAATATTCCTCGTATAATATTCCGGGGGAATTTGCAATCATTCCTTTAATGTTTCCTCCATCAGAATAACCCTACCAATTTATCTCCCATTTCTTTTCATCGCCCAAAATAGTGCCCCAAATTTGCGATAATAAACATGTTATTAATGAAGGGTTAATTGCTGTTACTGTGATACAGGCATGCAAATAATGTCGGCTGTTGCTGTATAAAACCCGAACGTGCAGTCTTCGATTGGCTGAACGGAGAGATTCATCAATGAAACGTTGCACTGATGCATCAGGGAGACCATTTTAATCTCGGGAGCCCAGAGCGAAGATCACTCCGGTCGCTGCCTTTTTTGGACTTTGGCTCGGGCGCCCGCATTTTTGTTCAAAGCGCAATTCTGGCTCTGAAGGTTTTTCCCCTCACTTGCCATCTCCCACCCCTCCAGGGGCAGAATCAAAGACAGTCCGTCCCTTTCTCGAGCCCCCCGTGGATCGAGGCGCACGGCTCTTCCTCGCTCGGAATCCGGCGCATCTC